CATCTTATTCGTTTAGTGTGTGTTACTAAGTGCAGTTGCTCCCTGTAATCAGCCATTTTGTCACCCTTCCAGCCCTGTCCAAAGGAAACAAGCCAGTGCACACCATCCTCTTGAATCCACATGTGCACCTTATTGGGGAAAATGCAGCGTGTATTGCCTATATTCGACTGACCCAGTACATGGATACCAGCGGCATGCCCCGCACCATGCAGTCCGAGGAGACCCGTGTGTGGCACCGCCGCGACGGCAAGTGGCAGAACATCCACTTCCACCGTTCGGGCTCACCCAGCATCCCCTCCCAGTAAGTAAGCAACAGTAAGAAACACAGAGTAGAAAGCTTGAATGAAGAGAAACTAAACAGCAGCTGAAAATCTTGTTTTTCGCTGACCTCAAGGGTCTCCACCTTGCTACAGTGTAGCAGGTGTGCTCCAGGGTGTGGTCAGTACATTGTGACATCACTGTTGGGTGTGGTTACAGGTACAAAGGAGCACACTTCTGACCACACCCAACCACATCTATCAATTAGTGGTCAATGGTGCCACAGACTTGAAACCTTCAACCAGTGAAGTCAGCGAAATAATGCATTTACATACTTAAAATTACATTTTGTATATCAATTACTCACTAGGCATTACCTTGAATTCTTCTGTCCACGTTGAACAGAGAAATCCTTGATGAATTGAAGTAAATGGCCACTTTTAACAGCGAAAACTAAAACATCTGTTTATAAACGCGGACACATTCTTGCAGTATAATCCAAGTCTCGTTTTTCTAGTGGCATGCTCACTACTTCCCAAACACATACATTTTTGCCAAAATCGTACCATATAAAACCACTTCCCTCACTACCGTCTCATGCACAGACTGGTATCAAATATGCACAAGCCGTGTAGGATTTTTCTTGCATCTTGACCCATGCACGTCGTTTCACGAATTCTAACTCGTGTAATGTCTGCCCTGGAAAATGTTGGGCGGAGTTCTGCTCAGGATACAAAACTTGAACATGAACCAAATATGAATCATAAAGGTGTAAGATGTCCCAACTTAACAGGTGCAACAAGAGTGACAAGAGAGTGAGCCAGATGTCAGCAAAGCACAGTCTGTACACACGCACATACGACTGAAAAGAGGTATCATTCGGCACAATAATTGGGTGGACAATAAGATTTTACGGGCTTTTCCCAGAGAGTAATACTAGTGAGCCAGCATGCACAGTGATACTGTGACGTTATTAATGAGACCAGTGGTTCCTGCTTTCATGCTGTTACATGTCTTAATATTGTCTGTGAAAAAGTGTTCATTATTATTTCTTTACGCAGTAAACATTGTCGTTGTCTCCAGTCAGTATGCATTCACATGTATGCTCTCTCTCTCTCTCTCTCTCTCTCTCTCTCTCTCTCTCTCTCTCTCTCTCTCTCTCTCTCTCTCTCTTTCTCTCTCCCCCCCCTTTTTTTTTTTTTTTTTTTTTTTTTTTTTTTTGCAGTTAAGGAATATTGACATGTGGTCAAAACAAAAATCTCTAGTCGGGCAGCCAACTAGCCAACCCCCATGACTGCCCCCCGACCCTTGACCCTTCTATAAGGACATGGCATTGCAGGATACAAGTATTAATACATTTTATTGTTATGGCATTTTATTAATGGACATCATTCGAAACCCACCACCGGGTGGCTGCACACTGTATTTGGACATTATGAAACGAGCATATTGACATTTTTTTGTTTGTTTTTTAAGATGTTTTGGTATGCATTTTAAATATAAAATAGAGATGTTTTAAAATCTACTACTGTAACCTCTCCCAAAAATTAGTTCTGTATTTTTATGTGTATTTATGTGTGTGTGCAATACAGAAACATTTGGAAGATCAGAATGTTAAAATTGAGCTTGCTTTAGTCCTGGTGATGTATATATATACATTGTGATTGTTGATGAAAAAACAAACATTGAAATTGCTATTCTTGCTATCAGAGGAAATAAGAGTTTACGTAAAATCCAGTTTATGAGCTACATTTATGTTTGCTATGAGCTAAGTCATACTGTTTGAATTGTCAGATTTCAATCTATAATACTAATTTAAATGTAAAGAAAAGCAGAGCAGCTTACACTTTGCATCAAGATATGTTTGCCTTTATATCAGTGAAATAAGAAATAAGAGAATGTAGCATATATGTAATATATGAAAATTCAAGACTATTGTGTAGTGCATGGGGGGGAATATTGTAAGTAAGATCATATGAAACTATAATATCTTCTGTTTGATTTGTGAACCACTGACTTGTTTGTTTGCGTTTGTTAATGTTGTGCATCAAATGTTTCTAATGTCCTCCAGTATCACAGAGCTGTTGTAAAAACAATAACACAGTTATGGTGAACATCCAGCGTAAATATCAAAAAGCTCATATCTAAGAGGAGGAAAAATAAACTCCTGCTTGCTGAAGCACCCCTTACATTTTGTATAAAATTGAGAAGAAAACAAACGCATTTTTCATAATGTTTGTACTTGTATTGTATGACTGTATGTATAGGGTTTCTGTTATTTTATTCTTCGTCATTTCCAGTGTGATACTTAGCCAATTGCACAGAGAAGGTGGAGATGATGAAGATGGCTCAAAGGCACTATATGCTCTGCCTTCAGTGTTCGCCTGAAGGTTGGGCTAATGAGTCTGGAAGAGCCGTAAAAGCATTGGACTGAAGAACATTGCAGTCAGACAAGAGGATGGTGGTAAGACAGCAGGAGAGAGGAGTCAAATGAGAGTTGGACTGCGATGAATGTTGGGATGTCTTCCTTGACGTTCAGTGCTTCTACCAGCCGGTGGCCTCCTTGCCACAGCAGGACAATGCCAGTGTCTTCGTCATCCTTACCGTTTGCTCTTTTCAATTGGTTGGTCTCTTCTTTTGTAAGGGGAAAATATGATAAAACATTTCTTTTGACGAAACATATGATGTCAATGCGATGCACCACTCCTTATATGGTGTGAACCTGTTGCCAGCACGGCAATGGATGGCTTAACATGTTTAAGAAATAAATAAATCAGCTTAAAGGTGTGATAATGAATGACCTTCAACGTGTTCTGTGTTTTGTGCCCTCTGCTGAGGTGGAGGGAAGCTGCTGACGTTAAATATTTGATGTGTTTTGTTATGTTTATGATCTCTGATAGATATGATGGTACGGCAAAAAGTCATGAAAATGCACAGTATAGTATATCGACAAAAATCATCGTAAAATATGTTCAAAAAAGTCAAATATTTTGGAATGCAGTCATATAGTATATCGAAAAAAGCCATCAAAAAAAGTGATAGAAAAGTCATAGCATATTTCGTCGAAAAAAATAATTTAAAAGTCATAGTTTGTATGTCGAAAAAAGTCATAGTATGTCAAAAAAAGTAAAGTATAGTATGTCGAAAAAAGTCATACTATATTATGTTAAAAAAAAAGTCGTAAAGTAATCATAGCAAAGTATGTCGAAAAAAGTCATAAAAAAAGTCACAAGGACACACATTAACCATGTAACTGCAAGCAGCTTTGTTGTTTGTAAATTAGTTTCTAAAACTGTACAAGCTTACACTAATTGTGAGTATTTCGTTTTTACCCCCTGCCCATCCCGAACTATCTTTTTCTTTCCTGCTGATGTTGTTCCTGAGACTGGACACACAGCTGGCGTTGATTTCCTGTGCGGGGTCAGGGAAAGGTTGGGACAAAGAAATAGTAGAACACAGACACACACAGATATAGATACACATCAGTTTGGGCAAGAAGCCATTAATATATCCAAATAGAAGAAAGAATAAAGCCAATGATAACATAAACACAGACAAATCAAGTCTTGAAATGTTTTAATATGAAGCTGACAAAGCTATGCTCACGTGGAAATTACAGATTTTATTTTAAAAAATCCATTTGATATTTTTACGTTAACTCAGGGACTACAGAATCGGGGGTGTGATTGTACACACGGGAGAATGGTTGTGACAAAATACTAGTGCACACATAAGAGGGCCACAGTTTAAATTGAGTATGAGGTTGTATTGGACAGATCAGATATGTAAGGAAGCAGAAAAATTCAAAATGACTGGGTAGAAGACTTGAAACTAGAGATTCAGACCATAAACACGTTTACAATGTTTACTGAGGTAATAAATCAAGTAGGAAGTCCAGTTATATTCTCATAGACCTCTATACAATCGGACTTCTTCGCCCCATGCCGGCTTTTAGAAAGAATACAAGTTTCAGGCTCTTCCACAGTGACTTCACTTTTTTTTTTTTTTTTTTTTTTTTTTTTTTTTTTTTTGTTTCGCTTATTGCAGTTAAATATTGTCCACTGTAGGACTACAGCAGTTCTTTGAAAATGTCAAATCCCATTTTAATTTTTAAATGATTAGAAAATTGCATAAATTTGATTGTGACTTACATACGACTCGCACAAATGGAAAATTAGGTGAGATTAATTATGTTGCATTTTAAGTATTACATTTGATTTAACATTTGTATATTGTCCCCTGTACAGAAGATTAAGTGTTGAAAATTAAATCTCAAATGCTATTTTCATTTGTTTGTAAATTGCATTTTCATTTTGACTCATACATTGCCTCCATAAATGGAAAATCTGGTTACTTTGTATTTTAGAATTTTTGGTATTCAACATTTAAATACTGTCCAGTGGGGGACAACTTTGACTATTCATTTTGGCATTCTCATTTTAATATAGTCATAGATTGTGAACATGAAAATGCTAATTGTCTAATTGCATTTAATTTGTACTCAAATAACACATACACATGTGGAAGATTATAATGCTATTGTGAAATTACATTTTTAAAATGTAATTATTTTAATAAAGTCCCATAAGTTCTTCCATGGGTGTTAACAAGAATCTGGTGCTGACATTCCTGCACTATTGCACTACCTCTGAGGCCCACATGGGGACAGCACCAGGCTGTGCAGATTGTGAATTGTTCATTAATGTTAGCAAGTGAACAAGAGATACAACGATACAACACTATAGATTTGTAGACTTTTATTCTCTATCAGCCATAGACACACTGCAGCCATTTTGTTTTTGTCTTTTTGAGCTTTGATACAGTAATACATGCCCTAATTAGATATTTGAATATGCATTGTATATGTATATAACTGTCATCACAGAAAAGGGATGCTGATTTTCAAATTAAAAGCATACCTGTCACAGTGAACTTCCACTAGTTTGCATTTGACATTTTTCTAAATCACAAAAGTAAACAGTGACAGTGAAATAAATACATTACATGTAGATACATAGAGTAGCGATGCTCATGAGCTGTGTATAATGGTAGGTTTAAGCTCAGTGTGTGTGTGCCTGGTGTATCACTATCTTGTATTTAATCATCTGCCCTGCCAAAATGAAACTATCTCTGTGGATAACTTATACTCTACCTTATATCCTGTGCACAAAAAGCAAGGAGGTGCTCCCTCCTGACGTTCAGGAGAGTAAACGCAGTTTGTGTAAAATAAATGTTTCTTTTCTTTGCTGACAGAAACTGGCACACACTCTCTGACAAGACTCCCCACTCATACACTCATAAACACACAGCACACAACTGGTCCAACACTCACTCAAAAGATAAACTGATAAAACAATTAATAAAGCAGAAACACTGAATCACCTGTTGGCTTATCAGATTGTGACTTATTCACTTGTGGCAAACAAAAAAATGGAATACGCTATCTAAATCAAAAATATACCAAGACATCTTCAAAAAAACATAAAACCAGCTTATAATAATTCTGACAATACCCTCTCCAAAACCAGCTGACAATGCAGTATTTACCTCACACTCTTACAGCACAACCTCACTCACATATTCACCATTCATACATTATGACTCAAGAGCAACTATTTAAGAGAAAAAGACAGAAAAATGAAACATAATCACACGGAAAGAAAGACAAAGAAAGGAAAGCGAGACAGAAGGGCAATCTATAGAACTACAAAGCAGTCAAAGCTTAGGATCACTATGACGTAATGATGTTGATTAGTCATGCCTGCTCTACGTCACATGAGTGATTGTTAATTCCTAGGCTACTGATGTCCGTAATGTCAAGATTATAGATAATATATAATTCCCAACGACCGGTTACACATAGCCTACACAAAACACAGCAGCAGCAGCAGCAGCAGCAGCAGCAGCAGCAGTTAAATTCAGTGTCGATACAGTCTGGTTTCCTCTGTGCGAGAACTTTACCACCTGAATAAAAAGAGCGGAGAGGCTAGTGTAGTGAGTGAGACTGTTTTTAAGTAAGGAATATGTGAGAAAGTCTGGCTGTGAGAGGCAGTGCAGTGTGAGAGATATTGTCTTTCAGTCCAAGCACCTACTCAGAGACTAGTACCAGCATGTTGCAGGTAAAGTGTTCTTTACCTGCAGGAGGTTTGTAAGTAAGTTGATGTGAATAGTGTCCCTTTGTGGTTTCTTTGTGGTTTCTATGTTGCTCGACCACAGCGTCAAGACAAAAATAGCAATTCTGAAATGGAAAGTTAAATGAATCAGATAAAAAAACGGACGACTTTCTTTGGTCACAAAAAAAAGGCAAAACAACATCAGAACATGAAGAGAAAATCATGAAGACATTATGACAGCCGGGGAAGAAAACAAACTGAACTAAAGGTCATCTTCCAGGACTTAAATGGGAAGACAGTGGTAGCTTGGAGGTGCCGTGGTGCACACTGGGATTGCATGTGGCTAATGCATAGGATTAGGGGAGACTTTAGCATGGGCAGAGCCAGGGACTAGAGGAGAGTGTAACACATTCCTCTACTCTCACTCCTCCTCATCCTCCTCCTCCTCCTCCTCCTCATCCTCATCGTTGTCCTGTTCTTCTTCGTGGTAGCGGTGAAAGAGCTGGTGGAGATGCTGCTGGAGGTCACGTGGTTTTGACCCTCTTCCGGGGTTGTCCACTTGCTCTAGAAGGACCCGTTTGCGCTTCCCAGCTCCCTTCACCACTGTTCGTCTGTGGGTGCGACCTTTACGCATGTGGGCCCTGGAGGGGGAGCAGAGGGGGAGGGGGGGGGGGGGGGGGTGAAAACAAACAGAGTAAGACAGCTCAGCATCATCAAAATATGCACCTGACGGTCTGCGGCAATTTACAAGCAGATGTTGCTGTACTAGTAGGCATGTTATGGAACGGAAAGCAAAAAAACACTCGCAAATGACATCATGCTCTGTAAATCCAGCATTCAATTGTGATCACATGCACAGCATACCAAGTTTATAGCTGCAGAAAACTATAGATTATGTTATAAAACACTTTAAACAGACTAAGGATGTCTCTGGACCTCTACACTTGGAATGAGATGTGTTGACTGTGAAGGCCATAGCATGTGATTTACATATTTTCATGGATCCCTGCCCTTCATGCAGGAATCTACATTTATGTTTGTCAACTTAATTATTTAGAGTTCTTCTTGGATTTGTGTACACCCGTTTGTACATCTTATGACAAACAGCCTTCATTTGTGTGGGCTCGACTCTTGTTTGGCTCACATGGAATATTTATGGCTATCTGGTACATACAGCACGCTTGTTCTGGTTCGTCCTCTCCGAGAGGCTTAAGGTGTCACAATTAATAACAATACTCAGTAAACATACTTATAATAATGATAGAAATATCATCTATCTTACCTGGTTCATTGCTTTTTATCTCTCTTTGAATCCATACAGAATAAAAAATATTTTACAGTTATGCTACTTGACAAAGTGGTTAATGATGTCCACATAAGCAAACATTAGTCAATATTAGTAAAAGTGATAAACCTCACACTCACAGAATACAGCAGTCACACACACACACACACACACACACACACACACACACACACACACACCTCCTGACCACAGTTCCATCTTCTTTGACAGTCTCTCTCTCTACCACACGAGGGAGCTCTGTTCTGCTAAAACCACTTATATAACCTAGTGCCTGGTGGCATGAAATGGAGAAAACAGTATTCACTGATTTGTGGAATGATTTGATGATGAAAAAACACACAAAAAACGGAGACCAGGTATCTGTCAATACGGATGTGAGCTACAATATGTACAATGATGGTGATGAGGTTATCAGCACACCTGTTCGAAGTCTTTTTGGGCAGAGGGGAGGTCGGAGGCCAAAGACGGATCACCCTGGTGTGTCATTGTCCTTTCACCTTCCACCACCGTTGTTCTTTCTACGCAGCTGACCGTACAGCCTTCAGCTGCCTCCTGACTTGATGCTGAGAAACCCTCACATTCAGCAAATGTTACCTAAACCAGAAGAAAGAGTTATTTGTTTGGTATTGAATGGTCTTTTATATACAACTACCATAATAAATGTTGCTATGTCTGTTATTTTCTGTTGAAAAAGATCTGGAAGACTATGATAAACACACAAATCAATACAGGACACACACCTCTGTGTGGTCTCCCTCGCTCTTCAGTACGGTTCGCTTCACAACCTTGGAGTATCCGTCTCCATCCGTCACACGGATGGATGCCTGGGGAGCTCCTTCTGATGACACCTCTTCATGCTCCACGCCGTCGGCGGAAACACACTTGCGAATAATTGTACGTGTAACCTGAGGAAGATCATGTGTTTAGAGGAGTGAAGCATTTGTGTAAAGAAAAAGTGGTAACACTTCATATTCACCATCATTATAAATGGGAAACTGACAGTTACTTAAACTTTAGTTTATACATTTATTACTTTCAACAAACAATTAAATTGTAATTAATAATGTCTATGAATTATTAGTAATACTATTATTTATGTTATTTTAACAGTTTATTGTTGCACATTTGTTAATGATTACCAAATGATTTGTAAACCTTTAAGGAAACATTTATAAACATTACATAGAAGGACTAGATATTTGTAACACTTTGTTTATGGTTAATAACTGGTTTGAAAACCCTCCATTAACTTTATTTGGATGGTTATTATAAAGCCATAACGGATTATTATTGTAATACTTTGTTAAATGCTTAATAAATACTTCTACCATCATTACTAAGATACATAGTAAATAATTGTCGATTGGTTTCTGGTCCATCTATCTCAGTAATATTTATATATTTTTACAAACAAAATCTTAAAGTTTTACAAATCACTTGTTAATCAAATAAATAGATAAATCTAATGTAATCAGAATGTAATTGTTATCATCTCTTATCAGCTATGATACAATATTGAATTTATGAAGTAATTATTAATGAACTCATTCATTATTTCATATTACACAATCTAATGATTAAATAACATAAATTATATTACTAATAATTAGTTAACATTATTAATTAAAATATCATTGTTTGTTTACAGTAAAATAACTAGAAGTTAAAGTAATTGACCATAAACCATTTGTTAATGATGGTTATTAAAAAGTGTAACCAGCCACATTCCAGAAACCACTGTGGTCTGTCTCCTAATGAGATGGAACAGTTACACACAAAGAGATTTTGGTATTGATGCAAACAAATCACAAGTGTGTTGTGTTTCGCTGTACAGCCTGTTGACACTTCCTGTTGAAATACTGCCATGTGATATGTGCACGACAGTATATATAGAACCTTGCTTTACCTTTTTGACAACAATGTGTCCATTTTCATCCTTGTACTTTTCTTCCGTCACTGACTGAGGGGGGAGGTCTGGCATTTCATCAGCCTGTGAGGGAAACAAAGACAAACAATAATCAGGAGTGCTAAGTTGGGTCAGTGTGAAGTTTAGGTGTTTAATTCTCCACTTCAAAAAAACAAACGAAAACACGTTAGAGATGATTAGGACACAAAACGTACATTTTAGGCAGTATTTTGGTGAGAGAACAGGGACTTTTGGGGTACAGGAAACAAACTAGCGTTTGTCAAAAAAACAACAACAAAGAAGTGCTCACAGTAACATAAAACATCTCCATGAGGTTCAGCCATCTATGCAAATCATGTAGCAGGTTCTTATTATCAATCCTTATTTATTTTAGTCTTCAAACACCAATTTTTCACCCATTTTAATAAAAGGTTGTTAGACAGTTAACATTGTAACTCGAACAGTGAGGACCTTGCCTGGTTAAAGTTGCACCCTGGAAGTCACACCCTCCATGCTTATTTAAAACACCATAAATCATGCTGAATCAGATACCTGAATGACAACTCTTCTTCGAACTATTCTGGTGGTCAAAAATTCATCATCAGAACTTTCTGACATTGATCCGAGCTCTGCAACGATATCCTGACCAAGCAACACAAGTCCATTAAGATTTAATAGAGGATATATATATATATATATATATATATATAGATAGATATATATAGATATATATATATAGATAGATAGATAGATAAATGCTGTTTGCAGCAAAGCAAGCAATAAGCAGAGTGATATGGTGAACTTTCCATTGACTTTGAGTGTTACAATTAAAACTTTCAATTCATTTTCATATATTACATTGGAAAGTACAACATGGCAGTCTGTAACTTGGAAAAATGTTTGCAAAACATTCCATGCCTTATTTCAATTAAAGAATAAATGTGCTTACTGCTGATTTAAAAACAAACAAACGTGTAGCTTATTACTGTGAGTGATACAGCCGGTTACAGGCAGCACAGTGACATGCTGAGTTAGGACTGGTTCAAATCTCAAATCAAAATAAAATAAGGGTTATGAGGAGTTTTAGATCCCATCCATGTGGCTAGAGGATTAGCAGTCATTCCTCTCTGAAGCAAATATAAGATTTGGTTAAGCTCAGCTCCAGGAAAAAAAGCTTGCAAGTTGGGGTGGTTTACCAAATCTCATCTTACCCTCGAAAGAGACTTAACAGTATCATCATATGCCCCAACACAGACAGGGGGCGGCTGTGAAGCCTCACACAAGGTGAATTCCTCATCCGATGCTTCTGAATAGTGTAACAATTCTTCTTTCTCTTCATGTACATTATAAGGAGGCTCCTGGACAAAAGGAGCATCCTCATAATCTTCACTTCCAGAGGACAACAGAATTGTTTGATTCACTTTTTCCAGCACTCTAAGATGGCAGAGATGACCTTGGGGCTGATCTCCATTTGGCCTAGTACTGGCCTCAGGTTCATCAGCCTCAGTCTCTGAGAAATCTGATCCAGCCTGTATGCAGTCAAAGAAAGGCTCTGGGTCAGAGTATTGTAAGGTTGGGCTGTCTGCACCACTATGCACCACTTCTGCATATTCTGGAGGCATGTGGGTATAAATGGTTGTGGGAGAAGAGATCTCTGGATACCCAGATGGGATGCTATACCCCTCATCGGAGGTCGAGGAAGCCCTCTCTGCTTTGGGTTTAACTGGAGGAGGCTGAGAGGCAAAACACTCAGACTCTACTAGAGTCAGAGATTCTTCTGAATGCTGTCCACTGGTCTTTGGCCTATCCTCCTCTGAGGATGCCTCCAAGTTCCCTGGGGAGGGGTATGACATCAGCTCCTCAAAGCTAAAATGTCTTGCAGATGTAACTGTCTCCGGAGTCAAATCAGAGAGAGACTGGGAAGAGACATCTTCAGCCTGAATGGCTTCAACAAAAGTTACCTCCCATAAATGTGTAAGTTCATCTTGGATATTCTGTGTTGATGTTTCTCCTGTCACACCCATTGAGTCTTTAGATGATGTAGCTGATTCAAGTTTTTCTGGACTTTGAAGAATGTCAGTTGTAGAATCTTCCTCACAAAGATTTGCCAGATGTTCCTCGGGTATGTCAGACGGACTCTTGGCTGCTACCGACACTGAAGAAAGTATCTCGGTAGTATTTTCATCACAGGTGCTGGACTGGATCATGTCCACAGGAAAACTTGGGTTCAGTGATACTATCACTTCACAAAATCTTTGGGGAAATTCTGGAGTTGAAAGGAACTCAGCAGGAGATAAAGGGCTATCCTTACGACTATCAATGTTTGAGGGTACACTTGTCTCAGAGGTTTCTGTTAGATCAGGAGTGACTGTGACAACCTCAGGTTCATCTTGAATGGCTGTCTGGAAATGTGCAGGCTCTATGACTGCTACATCTGTGAGGTTAGTATCTTCAGCAAACTGCATAACAGATGACACGCTGACTCTTAGGTTATCACTTTCTTCTGTATGGCATTGATCTTCAGGTGAAAGTTCATCAAACTCACACATTTGATCACCTTCAGAGCTACCATCAATGCAGTCTAACAGAAGTGGGTCAGGTGTGTCTGTTCTAAATTTAAGGTTCATCTCCTCCAGATCTGACAACAGCTGGTCAAGCTGAGGGGACCCAGATTTGGGTGGTGTTGGTGTGGACTCTGAGGATGTGATGACTTGGTCATCGGGAATTTCTTGAGCTGTTTGACAGAGCGGGTTTGGAGTCGCTGAGATTGTTTCAGATAAGCCAGAACTTTCACTTTGTTTGGCAAATGACATCCTTTTATCTTTTTGCTCTGGTGCGTTACTATGAGTGGTCAATGTGATTTCAGATAGGTCAAAGGTACCTGGAAATGGTAACTCTAGTTTTTCAGTGGAAAGTGTGTTTGAAAGATGTGCCATGGAGGGTGTCTCGGTTGGAAAGACCTGTCTCTGTCCTAAATTAACATTTGTTTGTCTTGAAGATTCTGAAAGACTTGTCCTGTAAGATGCTGTTGATACCTGCAAGAAATGATACAATGGAGTGGAAAAAATATAAATAAATATGATTGATGATTTCTTTTGGTGATGAAAAGAATAGTCAAATGAAGCATGCGTTTGTCAAATGGTCTGTTTTTTTACATATAAGAGTAGTGTCTCAAATGAGGAAATTCACTTGTAGCCCACTTGTGTTTAGGTCACTGCAGTAGTATCTAATATATGGCAATAACATTTGTCTTACAGATTACAATTTAAACACATTATATTCATGTAATGATTAAGATGCTGCTAAAATTGAGAAACTCTCAAAAAATAGTCTTCAATTTTAGCATATTTAGAAATATTACATTGACAACATCACTGAAAAACACAAACATTTTATGATAATAAAAGCAGGGTATAAGTGAACTTCAGACAAAATCAGGATTTGGTGTAAGATGAAGGTGGACATTTTGGACTTCATTTTATACCCATTCAAGTTAGTGTTTGCTGCCTTGTCAAAATATAAGGGCAGGAAGCACTGCACTTTGAATGACAATGCTAAACGCACTATTCTATTTGTCACAGTCAAAAACTATGACTGTCTGTTCTACTGCAGGTCTGCTCCATCTTCCAAAAGGTAGATAACTTGCTATTACAGTAATGACAATAGCCAACAGAACACTCCATTAACATAATCAAACATTTATGAAAAAGCACAATGCAATACTGTAAAAAAGTGATGTTGGGTCCTCTACCAAGACATTTCAGATGACAGAATGTGGGAGAAGGGCAGTAGCGGGAGAAGATGTCTAAGCTACAGACATGCTATTATGTCGTCACATTAAATTTCGCAATTAAACTGAATTCTAAATTCTTGGAAAGGGGTGTCATTGGGGCATAGTCATGTTCGGGAAAATGATGGGCACCATTGGATATATGCCTCTGTAAGCTGTTTTTAGTTTGGAAGACTGTGCATAACAGACAGCACAGGATTGGAGCTGCGGCAAAGCACATAAATTGGTTTAGAGTTGCATGTCCGTTAGGCAAAGCTCTAAATGGCTCATCTTATCGCAACTACAGTAGATTGTAATCTTATACAAAGAAAATGTCTGGCACCTAAAGCCCATTGAATGTACTTATAGGCTTGAATTGTTCAGATCAGGCAGTTTAAGGGGATCACAAAGTCCATTGGTTAGCTATTAATCTATGTAGCTTATGAGAACATTCCTTACCAGCTGGACAAAAAGCTCATGTCACTAAGAAAGGGTCACTCATTTCCTATAGTTGTGCTTCACCAAAAGATATTTTCTTTTGTTCTAATGCAAACATGCCACAGCAAGACAGTGAAGCCTCGGGCATTATTAGTAAAAAGGTTGAGGCATAAGTTCTACATTCACACTTAATGTAATGCAAAAAATGTATTACTTTTAAAAGCAACACTGCATTCACTGCTGAGCAAGAGCTTGTGCTGTCTTACCGACACCAAGGAGCCTGGCTCTCATCCTCGCTCATGGATTTTCTTTTCATGTTCATGGAAAACAAATCTTGGGCTTGTGTCATCTTTAATTGTGATTTAGGGTCTGTCCGTTTAAGTTTGTGCACATGGGATCTTCATTTCGCTGATTCTCTTTTTGCTTGAGTTTGCTCATGGGAAGCTTCCACCAGCCAGACAGCATCATGACATTCAAAAATTGAGTTCTACAGATGGCATGTGACTCAACTCATTGCAAAACTGGCTAATCCCGTATGATCTGTTATGATCTAGTCGAGGCTATTTTCTGTCCAGGCAAGAGGCTTGACAAAAAAAAAGACTGGTTAATTGTGTTTGAGGAGGAAGCTATGGGTCCTGTCTCAACTGCTGAAGTTAGTAGCATTAGCATTTCAGGATGTGAAATTGTTACTGTAAAATCAAATACTTTTCAGTGGGATACTGATGATTCCTGTAATGGTTTGGAGTCTGGTATGATGCTTTAGTAATGACAAGATTTGACTGAGCTATGTGGGTCTCCCCTTCTGACTTATAAATCTTTGAATTTGTCTGCAGTAGAAGTCTCTTCTGGCAGACTTTGCCTACATGGCAGCTGGTTT